TATCCCCATCCTAATATTTTGTTTACCCTTAATGTATTTAAAGAAATCGTTAATTTATACATTTTTAGCCAACCTTTTTCTCATACATCCTTTTTGATGTCCTAATTTTCTGTTTCACGAACTTTTTTTGACCTTCTATAATCTTCTAAGTCTCCTGTCATACCGGTCAATTTAAGTTTCTTAAATTTATGATACTTTCTTTAATTTTATTTCTTAAACTCTTTGTAAGTCAAACTTTTTTTTACTTACAGCTACCCTTTTCTTTCTATAAAGAATATGTTTACATTGAATATTTAAAAATTTATCTTAAACATTTTCCACATCTGATCAGTGTCTCCAAATAACTCAGCTGCCCAATTCACCACAGGTTATTCTTGTTGCATCCATTCAAAATTTCATTTTTTGAAATTTTTAACCACAATATCATTATTCCTTATCTCCATATGCAGCAAAACATTGAACCTAATAGAGCAATGATCACTTGCACCCAGATGTTCCCCAATTTCCTCCCTCTCAATCATTTCTGTATTTGAAGTCAACAATAATTCTAAAATAGCATTGTTTCTAGTTGGTTCCTTGACTAACTGGTGAAGAAATCCATCCTGAACAGTTTCCAAAAACATTTCTCCCTCATCGTTTGATTCTAGAATTTCCCAATCTATATGCCTGAAATTAAAATCACTCATAATTATGACTTCATCACTTTAACAGCTGAAATCTTAATCTCATTGTAAAGTTTCTCATTAATGTCATCAGTATCATTTGGTGGTCTGTAACAAATTCCCACTAAAAGCCTTTTCCCTTTATATCCACTAATAGAAACACAAATGGATTCAATCCCTTTGCTATTATCTTTGATATCCTCAACTTCAACAGGATGTATATCACATTTTACATATAAAGCCACTCCTCCCCCCTCTTTAATATTCTATCCCTATTAAATAGCCTGTAACCCTGTATTTCAAAGATATTTCTGTCATCCAAAATCATCTATGTTTAACCATGCTTCAGTTATTCCAATTATATCAAAATCCTCCATTCCTACCAATGCTCTAAAGTCATCTATTTTATTTCTTATACTTCTAGCATTACAATAGTAACAATTAAGCCTATCCTTTTATCTACTTCTGTACTCAATTCCTATGCTAAACTTTTCTCTGCCTCTTATTCTTTTTGCATTTAGTTTTTTCCAGGCCTTCACCATTGTCTAGTCATAATTTGAAACTTCCCTTACAGCTTAGTTAATAGCTTTAGTAAACAAGCCAGACCCTACCTTATTTAAACCATCTATTCCAAAAAGCTCCCTTCTTCCACTGAACTAATCACACAAGTCCAACCAGCCAATCTGCTCATCCTTACATACTAACCTAAGCCTAGCATTTAGCCATAATGACCTACTTATAACTTCATCCCCACAGTTAATTCTGGGCAGTATCCTTGGCAAAATTAAGTTATAGCATCTTTAAATGCCTTTATCAACCCCTTGTACTTAGCTCCTCTGGTCTGCCTTTCCCTACATCATTAGCCCCTACATCTACCACAAAAACTGCATCTCTGCTAGCTCCCTTTATTATATCTTCCACTCTGTCAGTTATATCCTCCACCTATGCCCCTTGGTAGCATAATCTGATTCTTTTCTCCCTATTTAACCCATAGACTATCATGTACTGTCAAGGAATCACCTATAACTATAACCTCATCATCCACATCCGTCTCTGACCATTTTGTTTTCCTTCTCTCCAGTAGTTCCTCATCTGCAGAAGCCAAGGGCTGAAATTTGTTGCTCGATAGAACAGACTTTTCACCCGTGACCATAGGAAGGCCTGTAAAGATAGGGTTAATCCATTTACTGAGACTACTGATACAGGTCAGTCTCAATCTACCTTTACTTCATTTCCCTTCATTTTTTTCTGTTACTCCTTAATTTTCTAGTTCCTTTTTTTCATTATATGACCAGGAATTGAAGTTTTCTTCTAAATGTTATCATATCTCTTATGTTTTCCTGCTTTTCTCAATACCTCTTTGTTATGTGATCCATCCTTGGTATCCTCAACATTTTTTGTAAAACTACATCTCAGTTGCTTGTAGTCTCCTTTCGTAGAGTTGGTGAAGTTGTCCAACACTCACTGCTATGTGTAAAAATTGGGTATACCTAACAATGTAGTATTACATTCTTGGTTTCCATTGGATTTTTGCTCATAATATGGAATACATATCTATCAACCTCTTATGAATGGGTGAGAAAAAAAGCTGGGGTCTAGGGATTTTGGTTTTGTGGAGTTTGAGTTAATTTGTCTTTTAACAATGTGCAGTCCTTGGTGCTTGCAGCTGGTTGAATGGGAGCTCTCGTTATGTAGCTTTGTGCTTAACAGCAAACAAACACAAGGACAATATTTTGGATATGTGGAACAATTGAAGACAGTAACTAATTAAAAACCCTAATTAATTATTTTTGTGACAGTTGATCTAATCATAATTTCAGTTAATTGATTATTGGAATAATTGAAAACGGTAAGAATTGGAAATGCTAATTTTGGTTAGTTTATGGAAAACTAGTCAGTGGAGTTGCTGTTCATAGGTAATCAATTAAGTTGCATATCTCTGACTGTTGGAATAATCAAAAATACTAATTTTGATTAGTTTATTATTTTTGTGACATTAATCGATGAATCATAATTTCAGTTAATTGATTAGTTTACAAGACAAACTGCTGTAATTACTGCTCATAAGCAGTTGATAATCAATGTATCTGCCTTTTTATTACTTCTTAGTAACAACATAGGTGTTAAACTATACTTAAAATTTTTCTCTTTTAGTAGATGTCTGGAATATATTTTTATAAATATAATATATATATATATTAGCTTCCTTTACTGTTATAGGTAGGCTTCAATTTCACAACTCTTCAGACATAAAATTTGACATCTAGACATCTGTACCTTACTTTTTGGAATTAGTAATTGGTTAATAAAGATAGGATCATAAAGACGCATAAAATATGACATGAAAAATTACCATGGTTTAATTTTATTTTTATAACTTGTATCTAAATGAAATGACTGTCTATTTCATTTCTTCAGTTGGAGCAATGAGTTTCCTCCCAGGTACAGAGTATCCTGGTAATGGTGTGCCATATGACAATTTTGGAGAGAGTAATGCAGTGTGTGGTGGAAATATAGAAGGTACTAATGAGGCCTCAGTATCATCCTTACCTACTGATATAGATCGACAAAAACTCAGAGAGAGGTAGGCAAATATATATTTTTGTAATTTGGTATGTTTTCTGGTACTGTGTTGCTTTAGAATACAGCTTAGTAATTAATGACTAAATATAATGATTTTTCTGAACAATCACTAGTGTAATCAGCTAATACTAGTAAAGGGTGTTAATGAAAAATTTCCCTGTAATGTTATGATGTAATTATCATGATTATCATATTGTAATAATTCAGAAAATGTATTAGGATTCAGTAACTCAATGAAATATGCTTTTTAGTATTTAAAAAATTACTAATTTTATATTATTTATTAAAAAACAATAACTAAGTTATCACTGCATATAGAAATATATATTTCATTCATATTGTGGTTTTATTGTAAACAATTTTCATAAAATTTAAAATTGTAAAGTTAAACTTAGATATTCACATGATGTGTGGATTAGCCTTGGTTTTAAGGTTTTTTGTTTGGTTTGATATTGTGATGGTTATATTCCTTTTCTTAAAACATTCAGGTTTATTATTAAAATTGTAGCCTTTAACTAGGTTCATTTAATTTTTGTTTTATTTAATTAACTCTGCTATTTAATTGTGTTTTAAATAGCAGTGTATTGTAAGTAATAATGAAATAAATTTACTGACAACATTTTGGGTGGCATTATTGGAAATATACATTTTTTAAATCTTATACCTTACTCTTAAATTATTGGTTTAAGTTCTTACAGTAACATTTATTGCAGTTTTTCTCATAAGTGGAATGAATTGAGGATGAAATATGAATGTATGACGTAACTTTAATGTAATGAATAATTAGGAATTAAGTGGTTATTTTGTAGATAATGGTTGATTTTATTAGAAAATATTTTAGCACACATTTTCATTAAGCTATTTTCATAATATTCATATAATGAAAATGTCAATGTGATTTTGGGTAAGAAAACCACTTAGTTTGATGTGAAGCCAACTTTACTGTAGTTTCTCTCACAGTTGAAGGGGCTGCTTTTAGCTCTGCTTCATCAAGATTTCTGTTAAGGAATATTTGTTTCTTTAAAGTATTTTCTGTATAAAATCTAACTTCAAGGGAAAGCCTTGGAGTTGAAGTTGTTTCATTTTCATTTCTCAGCTCTTGGCTTTTAAATCCTTCAAATGAAGCCTTTTGAACTTTAATCAATGGATGAACAAATGTCAAGACTAGTGGCCTTGTCTTCATATATCTTTGATTGAAGACCTGGTAACAATTGGCTTGCATAGATATTTTAAGATTATCTGATTTTACATTTAAAAAATTGTCACTAACTGCACCCAGAATAGTATGCACAGATGATACAGTATCTTTCTTGTGACCATCAAGTACATTTGTGAGAGGAAGATCTTAAACTTCTAATGTTTTTATTATGATTATAAAGAACATTCACTATTGTATCTAGGCAATAAATTTTTAGGTCTTCCAGTCTCAGAGTTTTGGATATTGCTGCTTGTTGCTCATTGAACCTGCTCACCTTTTAAAAAGAATAACCTTTGGTTAGTTCACAATGAATCAGAGTGTTTTCTAGCAATATACGAAAACAAAAGATGTTTACCTGACAGATACTACACATTTGGTATATTTTGTCTTTTCTATTGCGAGGTTTAGGCTATGCTCAAAGAATGGAAACTATTGACATTATGTGTCAAGATTATTTGGTTATTTTTAAGCCTTCATGATGTCAAGTGTCATACACAATGGGTTTTTTGTCTAATTCCCATTCACTCAAATGCTAAAAGACTAAAATTATTTTCTGCCATGTGATTGATTTTAAGTTGTGAGTATCCCATATATTGATAACACAGCTTTCAATCATCTGTTGCACGGACGTAATTATTTATTGCCCAAATGTCACTTGTTGCAAAAATAATAGTGACCATGTTGAAGTAAAGTTTTGATGTTGTGCTTCATGTTGTTGGTCACTGGTGGGATTTAGTTTTCTGTAACACTGATTCATTGCCAAAATTAAGTATATAAATTATTTTTTTTCTACAGTGTAAATAGGGACTTAATTTTCAGATGTAAAATTTTCAAAATTTCATCTGTTTCTTATTAATGTCACTCATGCAGTCCTTGACATTAACTTTTGAAGGCACTGGCAAATTATTGTCCCCACTATCAAATTTGGGACTACTACTGGAAGCAACATTATTCTTCTCTTAAAACTTAACTATGTGCCATAATTATTATTTTTTTAAATGTTAATATACATATGAATCTTCTGTGTAATGTTTCCAAACATTTTCAAGAATCAGAACTCAGAATCAGAACATGTAATGTTTTTATTTTAAGTATTTTTCAAAAGATGAAGTAGTAAAGATGCTCAATTTGTGCAGAAACTGGATCTACAGAGTCTGCAGTATGTCACTGTTGATGGTGTCCCTATGCAAAACAGAAGTATTGTATTATTGAAATATGCAGTTTAAATTTAGAAACCTTTGGAAACAAATGTCTGTAACTTATGTAATTTCTATTTTATTATTACCTCCAGTGATAAAACCATTTGGACACTGTTTTTATTATTTCCGCAATGTAGCTGGCAAAACTGCACTACAGAGTACGAGTCCAACCATTCCTTTGTTTGACACATTCAGTATGATTATATGTGCTATATGTTGCACATGTTAAGAGCCTTATTCACTCACATCACAACCAACCAAGAATTGAAGCTTCAGACTCACTATCCCATTTTCCTGATACTTGGGTCAGATGCTGCTCTGGGCTTTAAAATAATTGTAATTTGCAGTTTTTTACTTTATTTCCAACATAATCTGAATTTGTCTTCTTTTTTTTTTATCTGAACCAACATTTTATGCCAGTAAAATTTGAACAGCCATTATATGTCAATTGTTTATTAAATAGTGCTTTTAATTATAAATGTGAATAAAACTTAGAACAATGATTTTTATTTTGCTTTGCATAGCTTTTAGTTTCCTGAACTCTCTTGTATGGGTATATATACATCCAGTCCTCGATGTTTGACAAGCTCCATTCCACTGATGCTTGAAAATGCCAGTAAAATGAGTTTTGCAAAGGCTTGTTAGAGCCCTTGTTTTGGGCCCATTTCTGGTTCTTTTATTCTTACCAAGAAATACTTTTTAATTCAGATCTTGTTATGTGTTATGGTGCTAGTCACATGAATATTGCCTGTATACATAAGCGAGCTCACTTGTAGCTTGTGACCCTGTTGGTGGCTATATCTCCAAGACATTAATTTTAATTGGCCTAGACTAGTTGTTACATACACACAGTACAACATTTTAAAACTATGTTGTTATATATATATATTTATATATATAAAATCACATATTTGTAGCTGAGAAACTAAGTCATTGTTTTGAAGTATAACTTCAAAATTGGGTAGTAATTATTAGTAAATTCAGCTAAAGTAGGGATAACATAAGTGGGATGGCATAGGCAAGTAAGTCTTGTTTAATCATAAGTAATCTTCTGTACTTAGAATCTTTTGATATAAATTATTTAAATACAAATCATTGGTGTATTAATTATTTACAAAAAAATCTGAAATGTGCCCTATATTATTTTTCTAGTTACTTCTGAGTTTTGCTTGCAAAACTACAACACTAAATAATAGTTTGCTAGTGTTAATTTCAAGCTCTGATAGGGACATTGCCATTAGATATAGATCCTAAATTTGTAATTTTGTATAGTTTATATCCCATTATTTTAGTAGTATTCCATTTTATAGCTTGATGATTAGTGGTATTTGTTAATCAGTTAATAGATAAGCCCCCTACTTAATCAGTTAGTACCAGCCAGTTGCCTTCCCTTTAGTTAGCAGCTCCAATTATCAAATTAGTAACAGTGGCAGATAGCTTTAGTAGCTATGCCATAACATAGAATAAGGAAGTTTGATGGTAATGCGAGTTGGTGATTTTTGTTATGTAAATCTATGGTAATTTCTAACTTTTTGTTTTTTAACATGATTTTGTAATATCAGGTAAGATGAGAATAATGTATTCATTTAAATCTGAAATATAATATTTTTTAGAAATCGGAGATACAACAGACACAGAAATCGAGAACGGTATGATAGAAGACGTGACAAAGGTGATGGACCATACAATTGTGATGAGGTAAACCTTCCTAAGAATACATTAATGTTTAAAGTTTTTAGTGCAAACTAGAAAGTTGTATTCATTTTTAATAAATTAAACATAACCTATTACTCCAGAAACCACATTTTACCATTACAGCCTCATCAAGCCAAACTAGATGCTGAGTTTAGGCTTATAGATAATGTTTCGAAATAATTTCAGTCTACATAACAAGGTAAACTCGTGTATGAGTATATAAACATTATTGTTGTGCATAAAGACATCAAATGGTAAATTAAAACTACATGCAAATAGTCAGTATTATACTACTTGAAACACGCATATAATTTGTTATAATAATTAAATATGAACAGTGATTATTAAAAATTCCACATATTTTTGTTTGTATGGCTTGTTCTCTGAAATCAGTAAGTCTGTTGTTCTAGCATGAATATAAATTATAACACAAAACCAGAAATGTTTAGTCTAAATAGCTTAAATCTATAAATATATTTATAATTTTTATTTCATTGACCTTTCAGCCTTGTCTGACTAACATTACAGAAGTTGCAATGACATGGTATACATGCACTCCTGTTACAATATCCAGTAGTATAAAACTGGCCATTACAAAGTGACATGACTTGGCTTTGTTCTAGTGGACCCGTATTTTGTAAAATACAGTCCCATTTTGGTTATAATACATTACATGTATACAAATAAGTTCTAACATTTCAGTTATTTTTCTTAAAACATAGAACAGTAAATAAAGAAATATATAAAACAATGATTTCTTCTACTTAATGAATTTTGTACTTGCTATAATTTGCTAAGCCTTCTCAAATTTTGCACATGGAGGATGATCACAGTGAGTTATTATCAGTTCATTACTATCAATTACATGTTGATGTAGTTCTTTTTTTCTAAAGATATTATCAGTTAATTATAATTAAAGTTATTTTTCATGTCTAGAAATAGATATACTTAAATTGTTCAGAAAACTAAGAAGTTTACGATATTGTATAAGGCTGGCAGGAATCATACCTTCGCATCTGCGGTGTTGAAGGAAGTCTTTCTGTATTGTAATCAAAGTCGGTTTGGCACAGTTAATTTTTAGACTAACTTATTGTTCAATATTTGGTGAATATCTGTTATAACTTAGTAGTTTGTATTACCTAAATAATTTTAATTTTCAGTAAACTTTTTATATCCAGAACAGACAAAGATGTTTTATAAATGGTAAACTTTAACCACAGCAGATCTCTCAGTTCACTGTTAAGTTTTTATATAAATAAATGTGTATCAGAAAACCAGCCTTTATGATGATGATTTCCCAAATTTGCATTTAGGGTTTCTTTGATTCATGTGGATTGGAGGACAATTTTAGAGATGGTTTTCTTGGAAAAGAAGAATATAATGAGATGGAACGTAACTACACTAGCAGAAGAAATAGTGGCTACAACAGCTTTGGGGATAGAGGAGATCGTGATGATAGAAGAGGAAGAAACAGAGGACACCGTGATCGAGATCGAGCTAGAGACCGCATCAGGGATAGAGACCATGAGAAAGAAAGAGACAGGGAGAGATCAAGAGATAGAGAAAGAGACAGAGATAGAGACTATCCTCGAGAGCGAGACTGGCGGGAGGAAATACCAAATAATACCATAATGGTCAGAGGGTTAGCTCCTCATATTACAGAAGGAGATGTAAGTATAGTGTATAAAGAAAAGATAGAGTAACTCATAACATCATTATTCCTTAATTTCTCTTCTTTTTTTTTTCTTATATTATTAGTTTGAAATTCAAAGGATACTGTAAAAAAATAATCTAATGGTTAATACTGCTTGATAAAGACTTGGGTATAACTTAGACTAAAATGCCTATAGTAAAACAATGACATTTTAGACCCTGGTATCGACAAGTTAAGTCTCCCTACAGCTTTTTATCACCAAAAGCTTTCAGAAACAAAATTAACATCTGCAGTAATATTTCTTTCACTTCTAATTACCTCATTTATAGATTCAGTTTATTAACTTTATAGTGCTTTTTAGGAATTTACATTTAACTTCAACTGTGGCATCTTTTTTGTGTTTTTATAAAGCTTTGTTCAAAGTCTTAAATCAGTTATAAAACTACAGTAAAAGTAAATCAATTTTATGTATTTCAAATGCCTCTAGTCTTAAGTTATGTAATTGTAGAGTGTGCAATGTAACTGGTAAACAGTGAATTCTTTGTATCCAAGCTATTAAATTTTCATGTAAACCTACATCTAATACCTTTTACATTAATTTAGATTTTAATATGGTAATACTACTAACTTTACCTTTTGCACTTACATGATTTTTTCGTGGTAAACTGTGTCTAAAGATGCTGTTGCCATATTAAAAAAAAATACTCTAAGAATGCCAAAAAAAGTAGTAGAAGTACTACTACTACTACTGTATTTTAATTAAGAAGTATAATTTTGTACAAACAGCACATTTTACATAAAGAACTGTTAGGTTTACAAGTTAGTCTTACAAAATATAACTTAGCATGCCAAGAAGATAGACCAGTACTAAACTGAAAAACAATTACTGATTAGTTTGATAGTGGTCTAACCTTATGACAAGTTAAGTTCAATCTCATTTAGACCCATCTTGTAATTAATTAAAATAAAAATATAAGTAGTTGTAGTCCATTTCTCTGTTGAGTACAAGAAAAGTCAAAAATTATCTTACAAGAGTAATTCATTTTCCAGTCTCCACCCAAGATGCAAACTCTAGTGCTTCAGAATGTTTTTGATGTTAAAAAAAAAAAATTCTAGAATTGTGTTTAAGTTACAAAAGGTGCCAAAATAGATTTTAGGTAATAAAAATGAAATTGAAGTTGTATTTTTACTTCATACAGTGAAATGAAGTGATGTATGTTTGTATAAGATTTTTATTTAATATTATTCAGATTATTAACAGTAAACTTCACTTTTTTGATGGTATTATTTGGGTATTTTTTTCGTTTGTAGCTGAGGAATGAAGTGACTTGTTATGGTCTTGAACCTAAAGATGTTCGTCTTATGCGGAAGAAGTACAAAGATACAGGTGAGAACCATTCCTTTGGCCTCTGCCTGGAAATTAACATGCTTCTCTCAGTGCCACTTGCTGTTGTCATTGTCATGGCTTTTCCTTAGGACATGTGTAGACTTTCATGTCAAACTATGGAATTGGAATAATATACAGGTGTTTAAAACATACCAACACTCAGTATTTAAAAACAAGTACATTGACTTCATACTTGCAGTTAGTATCCTCTTTATAGGTATTATGTTCCTTTATTAGAGTTTTCTTATTATTTAACATTGTGACCTTTGGATACATTTTTTTATATTCTTAAACAATGTGTGATTTACTTGACGTGGTTTGTTTCTACAGTTTTGAATACAATTTCATTAAAATGTTGCATTAAAGCCGCTTCTGTTTTGTGAGGCTGCTTAATGTTCCTAATTTCCACTACACAATAGAAATATTACCATTGAATGCCAATTTCTTCTTCACATAGACATTTGTGTAATTTTTCATTTAATTATTTGTAACAAATGGGTGAAACTGTTCTTCACGTTCTAGATACTTACAGATCTTTTTTTTTTACCCTGTTATGATCACCGTGCTCCTTTTGAGTATTGAGTACACACCAGTACATCAAATTTAAAATGTTTTTTATAAAAATGATATTACTGACTACATGAACGGTGTTTTTAACCCAGAAATATTTCTGAATTGATGTTTCATCTGTTTCTAACATTTATTTTGTATAATTTGCCGAGACAAATGTTCAAACTTACCTTTCCACAGTGTACTTAATCTGTTATTTTAGGAATTTTCTACCCATTCTAAAGTATAGGTTTAAATTTGCTAAGAAGTGGTCATACCTTGAGAATAAAATTATCTATGTCCTGTTTGTCACATGATTTTTCTTTCTTGTTTGAGGCCTTATAATTACACCCTTTTGTTCCCACCCTTCAGGATTCGTACAGGCCTTGAAAATCCTATGATTTTGATTATGCCTTTTGCAATACTTGAATTTTGAAGTTTTGCATAAAAAGTTCAGCTTGTATAGTAGTTATAGATGTCACATGAAATGCTGCCCACTGAATGTGGTTTTTCAAGTGTAAATGTACTAAATCACTTATTGAGCATGCACATAGCTTAAACACATAATTTAACTGCTGTACAAAGAACAAATCTTGTGAGAAATAAGTAGAGAATGATAAAACTTCTATTTTAGCCTATTAACTAACCACAGAAAATGCCTCATACCTACAGTCAGACTCTCAGCTGATTTACACAAAAGAAAAACTATAGAAAGTGCTTTAGGTGACCTTCTGCCATAATATTTTTATTGTTGCCTTTGTAATTTGGTGCTCATTATTTATGATAGTTATAATTATTTTCCCAGAAAATTTTTCGTAGAATTTTTTTGTGCTGCATGTAAAAGTTGTATAGAGGTGTGAGTGATTAGTGATATGTTAGAATTGCACATCAACTTTGGATTTATTCCTGCTTATCTGATACAACTGTGAAGTAATATGAAATCATCAATCTGTAAAAAGTACTATTAAGTTTTTGTGGTTATTACTGAATATGAAAAATCTGGCTTTGTAAGTAAGTGGTACACAAATTATGGAGTGATAAAATTTTTTATAAAAACTCCCACTGCTGCAGAAAAATGAATAAGCAAAAGTCTATCTTACATAAGCTAATGGATCTTCTGTTCTCTATTTTAGCTGACAACTTAACTGATAGATATAAGTAAAAACACCCTTTGCATATTGTTATATCAAAGAAATAATGCTTTCAACACAGCTAACATTCACTGCTATGTTTATGCATAAAACACTGAAGTATTGCAATTCTAAAGAAAGAGGTTAAGAACGTATACAGTGCACGTGCTGGGCTGCTGAATTGCCGTATATTTTAAATAATGTCAAGAAGCGTAACAAAGATTTCATCATAAATGATTATTTAAAATAGGAAAATTACGATTAATTACGTGGGCAGATTGACTAGCCTAAGAAGCCATTTCACAAAGTGATTAATTAGTTAACAATTTGTATGTGGTGGTATTGCATATTACTTTCCTTTTGTGCCCCAGAGTATAGTTTGGTACAGTAATTATTTTAAAAATTTGCAAAGTTTAATATTAATTTATCCTGTTCTTTAATTTTCCTTCATCAGGAGGTTGAAATTTTGGCCGGTTATGATTACAAAATAACCTGCAAATAATTAAGCTTTGTATCCAGGAGTAATTTTGTATTGACTTATGCTATTATTACCATGACATTATGGCATTGAGATCATAAGAGTTTTTCTTTTTCTTAACTATTTTAAGGATTGTTACAGTCATCAGTTGACCCTGTTTGATAGTGTGTCTAAAGGTCACAGTGTGAACTTGTAAAATGTGCAAAAATGTATAAAATAAATAATGCTTCTTGTCACAATAAAGAATGGTTAAGAAAAAGCTGGATCGAGTAAAGATAGATAAACTGGAGGAATATATTTACTGAATTATGAGACGTCTTGTTTTGTACGTGAAATTTGTAGTTAAGTCAGAAACATGTTTATATGTATGTGTAATACATGTTTTTAAAAGACAGAGTGTTGGTTTTAGCTTATTCTTCAATTCTAGTTGTGCGTATAACTAATAAACGGAATTTGAGTGCTTTTTAAATGTTGAAAATGTAATATAAATCTTGCCAAAGACAAAAAAAGGTCTGGTTTAAATCATGAAGTCTCACATGTTAGAGGGATTAAATATAAATATTTTGCATTTTAGAAATAGCTTTGATGTTCATTCTATTTCATAGTTTTGCATGGATAACTTCACTTTTCTCTTGTCAATTTTGATTTTTTTTAATTATTTGGCATAAATATCCTTCCACAAGTATCAATTTGAATATAATTATTTTATTTTTATCTTAAATGAAAATCATGTTCAGCTCTTTTTTCTTAATGCACACACACTAACAAACATGCACAGTTGATAAGTTGGCTCAGTTCTTGATAAACAACAGCTTTTGTTTACTAAATTTTTCTGTTTTTCATTTTTGGAAAAACAGGTTAGAAGTATATTTTTTTATCATATTAGGTGATAATATAGGTTTGAATTTTCAAAACTGGGTAACATCAGTTTTTTGGAGGATTTGTTATTGTTCAATTTATAAAATTTCTTGTTACCAGTTTTTAGGAGCTAAGTTTGGCTCACTGCATAGCATGCTGAACTATTGATCTGTGGTTTTATTGTTTTGTCATGTTACTCAAAACAAAAGTTAATAATTGTGCTTTGCACTTTGGGATACAGATTTAACATAAGGATGACAATCAAATCCCACTACTTGGTCAGAGAAGCATAGCCCAAATGTTGTTTAGTTGCCTTCATTGCTCTAGTCTATCACTTCAAAATTATGGAGGACTAGTCCTCATGCAGCTTTGTGTGTGTGTGGAAATATTTAACAGTTCCTTAACCCTTTCTGCACGGGAATCCTTTAATGTCATGAGGTTTTAGTGACTTACATTAAAAACTTAAACTACATTTTGTTCATGTTATACCAATTAGTATAGCATAAAATCATAACTAATAATCCATATTTCAATAGTATGTAGGTTTTAAGTTCTTGATTTTATGAGGATATATATATATATATATA